CATTTTGGTGGAGAAATGACATCATTGTGTATGTGACGTCACAATGGAAATCAAAGTTGACTTGATCAATCGGCATGCACTTCAGCCAAACATCGTTTCACGGCGTATCAACTGGGAACTCATTCAAGGTCATTCATGTAAGATTTCCCTATATCAAATGAACATCACCAGTACAATTTTGATTCCCAATAATAGATCATGTGCAATGATATTTACATCAATCGCTTGAGTAAGTATAGAATCAAACCTTTTCTGGTCCTTCTCCTTAGCTCTTCAAAAGTTCATAATTAACATCATATAGGGATTCTTATAACCAAAAGCTTTCATTCATTGAAAATAATAAACAGCAAAAGTGCCAATTTACGTATTAACCACCTCCCTCTGTAACTATACTAATTTTTTTTATTACAACTTTCCAAACGGTTTGTGATTTGTTTAGCTTCAAGTTTTGATGCAACATTTTGCTAAACCTTTATTGCATAGAACCCAATGTGCTTGTAATTATCATTTTCCTCTACGATATATTCATAGTTCAATGTACTTGTAACAGAAAGTGCATACTGTTATTCCTTCAAATGTATGTAAATCTCGTAATCTCAACAGCTGACGTTGCACGTTTAAATTTATCCTGACGAACACACCTAACAAGAATCATGAATCTTTAACTAATCAAATACAGATTTAAATGTTAATGAAATACATAATTCTAAGGTTGATGATCGCTTAACACTTTAATAATCTTTACCCATATAAAATGTTGCTTACCTTCTCGTCCCGCATTTTCTCTGCCCCGGCCATGGATATCGACTCGAGAATTTCGTAAAAGTCTTCTTCGTTCATTGTTGTTTGTTCCGAAATACTGTCTCAACGATTGTCCGCGGTTTAAATACTCAAAAATCTGCATTATTATGTGTTTTTTCGCGTTATTACCAGTTTAAAATCTTCGTTATTTCGTGTTTTTTCGCGTTATTACGAGTTTTAAATCTACGTTATTACGTGTTTTTTTCGCGTTATTTCGAGTTTTAAATCTACGTTATTTCGTGTTTTTTCGCGTTATTACGAGTTTTAAATTTACGTTATTACGTGATTTTTCGCGTTATAACGAGTATTCAGTTTGCGTAATAACGCGTTTATTCGCATCATTACGTATTTATTCACGTTATAACGCATTTTTTCGCGTTATTACGTAAAAAAACACGTTACTTCGAGTTTATTTACGTATTCACATGTTTATTTCGCGTTATTGCATGTTTCCACGTTTTAATTTTTCTGCTTTGACACCATTAGGCTTTCGTACTAAACCTCTTACTTTTACTAAGTAAATATATCTCTTCTTAATCTAATATCATTATATCCGTAAACAAGTAACACATTACCTAACGGTACATATATTAAATACATAAAAATATTTCATCAAAGACCAATAGGTGTTATAAAGAAGGGTAAATAACCAAGTATAATAATCAAGGCAGATAACTCTGTATTTCCCTTAAACAAAGGGCAGATAACCCTTGCATAGGATTACACAGTTGGTGTTAACTTCTTAAGTGTACAGTCAGGACCTATATCTAACCTCGGGATACTTGAATTGCTTATGCCTCTTGATTCCATAGGGAACAATTACAATAAACATTAAGCTGCATGAATATTTCGAGTTTCTGAGTTTGATAGTGTGGTACTTGTTCCGGTTAGATTGTATTCAGATACCTGTGATTTTGTAGCTTTAAGTGAGCACCTACCTTTTGTGTACGTCTCCGTCATCTGAAAAAGACTGTTCCTTAACAGGCACACGTCACTGATATGGGTTTTCTCTTTTTAAATTGTCACTCTTTTGTATTTTCTACATGAGATTCGCTGACGTCCATTATATATTGTGTATATCCATACGGAGATTGCAAAATTCTATCATCTTCTGATTTTTTTCCCCTGCTATATGTACTAGAATTGTGATAAATAATACCTGCATTTCTTTCTACACAAATGAAACGTGATATCTATGAATGCATAGATACATACATAGATATCTTCTGGGTGCTGGTTGTTAGACCTATACAACAAAGTTATGATGTTACTACAAGATACTGATGGAGATGAATGTCAGCTTTAAAAATGAAGGACGTGTTTGTATTGTCCCATGTTTATCAAGACTTCCGTCGAATGAATTTAAAAATCATCACATGATTTAATTTATGCAGCTTAACCTCAGGTTTTAAGGCGCAAATCTTGCATTTGCACTTCACTGTTTTATTACTTAAAAGAAATCCTGTAGAATCCTATTTTACAGTATATATTTAACCTATTTCCATCAAATTTCAACGATATTCCTCAGCAGACAAATCCATCACATTTCTTCCCGAGGTCACGTCCCATGTCGCGGGGCCTCTCAAAACAGCGGGTTTTATCTGAGAGATAAAAACTTTGATAGCTGATATCGTTACTTTTTCAAAACTAAGATAGAACCATTGGTAAACAAAAAACATACCGTAGAATAGAAGCTCGTTTACTAATGTGGATGATTTTTTGGACAGTGGTGTTCCTTACACTTTGTCGATCTAAGCCTCGTCTGTAATGTTGTGTCACTTTATCGCCTTTAAATGTTTTAATCACAGCTAATTCTAGGGATTTTCTCGACACAAAATACAGCAATAGTTTAGTTATACGTTACATCAATGACAATGTAAAATACCACCATCAGAAAATGGCGGATCACACACATTATGCAACAGACGAGTAATTACGGTAACACAATGCTAAAATACCACCGAGTCGAAACATAAAGGATCTTACAGATATTTGTAGTAAGATTAAAGATTTTATAAATTCAGTTCAAAAGGTTCTTTAAGTTTTAGTTTTGTGTTTACTTTACTTCCTGATAACAGCCTTGGCCATTTAAGGACGTGCTAGGTTTTCGGTGGTAGCAAATGCTATACCGTAATATCTGTACATTTCTTTTTTGAATTATCATAAGTATTCTCGCGAGCTGTACTGGTCGAAAGTATTTTTTATGTGTCTTTAAATGTGTAGTTGCAGCCTGTGTAACTACCACTAACGAATTGCCGTATCATACTCTCAGCAATTATTGTTTAATGTCCATATTCACATTAGTTTTGATATGTGAATTAAAAAAAAATACATCCCAGCATTTATGACTTGTGTTACAATATATAACTAAAGTGATACTATATAATATACATTTTACGATGACTGACTAAACATGCGAGTCTCACATGTAAAGACTTGATTTTTTCTGGTTTTTTTTAATAATCCCCATTCATGCTTAAGCTATGTGTTTTGTCCACTCTTGATAAAGAGGACAACGTTTTTTGGTCCACATTTCCTTCTCTGTTGTACATTGTATATAACTCATCAAATAAATGCCCCGAACCAAATTTGGTCTGAAGCTTTCCTGGGAGAAGGGGAATCAATCTTGTATGAATGTTAGGTCTGTGCCCCGTGGGGCAGGAAGGGCGGGGCCCACTAGATGAAATGAGGTAAATTCTTAAAAATCCTACTCCTCCTGTAGGAATGAATGGGTATTATCCAAATATGGTATGTAGTATTCTTGGTTTTGTATGAACTGTCCCCTAGGGCGGGTGAGGTGGGTACAATTGGGAAAATGTAAGTTCTTAAAAAATCCTTCTTCCGTACAAGGATGTTGTCCATGTTTGGTCTGAAGCAATTTTTATAAATAGTGACCAAAAGACCGATAACCATAATGGAAAGGACATCAAAAATGATTTGTCATGTTTGGAATTCTTTACTTAATGGATAAATAGCTAAGTTAGCCAGGTGAGCGATGCATGCCCATTTGGCCTCTTGTTTTATGTACAAACTGCTTTCTTTTATATCTTGCCAGGTATCCGTAGTTAATCGATATAGGACAACAGTGGCTGATAATCTACTAGGAAAATGAAAGCGAAAGTGAAAATGATACCGACGTAGACTTTTAAAAAAAAATCATAGCCTAAATAGATATAGACATACAAAACGATAACGTACAATACGGAATGTAGTAATATTTAGATTACACGTATAGAATATCTAATCAGTGATATAGATGACAAATGAATTGATAACTCGAATGGCTATAAAGAGTACATAAACAGCATTCATCGCTATATGTTTACCATTTAATAAAACTGCACACATGGGATATATGATATTACATTGTGCGCAATGTACTGTCTCCATCTTATTTAATATCAATAATGAGTTCCCTAGAATGAAATTCATGAGGAAATCAAAGTGCTCTCATTGGGAAATCCTCTACATAAGTTTCCCTATGAGGTGTGAAGCTGGATGTATTTCATGCGCTTTGGTAGACATTATGATATTATTAACTTTAACCTGGTTATTTGGATTGACAGAAATGTACATGGCAAATGCGTCGGCGAAGGTACTTACTCTTCTGGTCTTATTGTCCTTGTATGTTTTCTTATTGGTCTCTGTACAGCTTTCTTTTGTTTATATTCTTTCGTGGAATTTGATTTTGAAGTAAAATTCTGTTGGTACGAATGTTTTTTGTTTTGTTTTTTTTTTTTTGTTGTTGTTGTTTTCAATAAAATGTATTATATTTGGATCAAACAATATTGGTCGATCAGAATGATAAATAATCAGAATGATAAAAAATCAGTCAAAATATTGAAAGAGCCAATCAGAATGTTAAAAAATCAGTCAAAATATTGAAAGAGCCAATCAGAATGATAATGAGAATAAGAAAACAGTCCATCAGACATGTGAAAATTTGCATTTTGATCTTATTTTTTTAGTCGTCACTCGTGTTACCGACAACACGTGGATTTGTTGACATTAACGACGGAGAATTTAATTCCTGTCAACACAGGTTGCTATCCGAAGCAAACTCTTTCAGAAAACGTATTATTGATTTATGAAACCCACGTGGTCGAACGAAGATAAGGGTACGGCGGGTTACATGCTGAACCCTGTTTTATTTGTGAGGAGGATTCAAACTAGACAAGTGATATTCTGAACCAGACAAAATGATATCGTGGACCTTATCAGTATTTTTGGCGCTCTGTCTTTCAGGTACGTAACCATCTAATCTTTTAAAATTAATTCTGGTTATACAGATATTTTTTATAATACACCAACATCATCTAAGATTTCTGACAAATCGACATAAGATGTGTACACGTTACATGAAAATGGCCACCCTTGTTCTTTATAGTGTGTGTAAATCTTATAATTAGCATTTATATACAAACTTTATTGAATTTGAAATTCCGTTTTGCTTGTATTTCATGTGATGTGACAGTTGGAGGTGTGGATGGTGGGGAGTGTTGTAAAGCTCACTATGGGTTGCTTTCGATGGCAAACGATGAAATGTGGTGTGATGACTACTGCTGCCACAATGTTTTACGTTCGTACTACTGCTGTGACGATTTTGCTCTCCAGGCCTCCAGCTGGGAGCGGGAGGACGTGTGTCCCGATTTCTACGCACAAAATGTGTTAGTTTTTTTTTCTTACTTTCTTTTTTGCTTTTATGCCCTTTGTTCTTTTGGGGGTTGTTTCACAGTAATATGGAAAACGATACCAGACCATAATATACATGTACATGCACGCTTTTGCATTGTAGCGGTACATTAATCAGTCTAATGAAATCATATTAATTATACCCAATATTTTCCGAAAACATTTGTGTATATTATAGTAGTATAGTATGTAGGCTGTGACTCTCAAAATGAAGTGCAGCACCTCCTGCCGGTGACATGTGTCAACCCAGATGAGGTGCAAAACAAAATAAATGGCGGCGGTATAGTCACCTGGATGAGGTGTTAAAACAAAATGGCTACCGCATGTGTCACCATTTTGTTTTTACACCTCATCCTGGTGACACATGCGACAGCCATTTTGTTTTGCACCTTATCCTGATGACACATGCGACAGACATTTTGTTTTTGCATCTCATCCTAATGACACATGTGACAGCCATTTTGTTTTTGCACCTCATCCTGGTGACACATGCGACAGCCATATTGTTTTTGCACCTCATCCTGGTGATACATGCGACAGCCATTTTGTTTTTGCACCTCATCCTGGTGACACATGCGACAGTCATTTTGTTTTTGCACCTCATCCTGGTGACGCATGCGAAAGCCATTTTTTGCACCTCCTCCTGGTGATACATGCGACAGCCATTTTGTTTTTGCACCTCCTCCTGGTGACACATACGACAGTCATTTTGTTTTTGCACCTTATCCTGGTGACGCATGCGAAAGCCATTTTTTTGCACCTCCTCCTGGTGACACATGCGACAGCCATTTTGTTTTTGCACCTCCTCCTGGTGACACACGCGACAGCCATTTTGTTTTTGCACCTCCTCCTGGTGACACATGCGACAGCCATTTTGTTTCAGCACCTCATCCAGCTGATTATACCGCCGCCAGTTTGAATTTTCGACTTGTCTGAGTTAATACATTCCGCCATATTTTGCATCTCATCTGATCGACACGTGTCACCGACAGAAGGAGCTGCACCTCATTTTGAGAGTGAAAACCTTCATACCATACTACTTATAATATTTTGTTAGCGTATGATACATATTGCCGTATACTGGTACGAGACTGCCGTACGATTTCCTGTAGCGGCATTGATAGATATTTAAGAAAATTAACTATTATGTAATCAGTAATAGACGTGTATCTCGATTCCCTTAAACAATTTGTTTCCATTCTTGCAATGTATCAACGCGGTTTGATGATAACTTATCATCAAACCGCATTGATACATTGCAAGAATGTGACTGTTTCAAGTTGTATCTGATGTATATGATCAACTGGTCGTATGTAAACCAACGAGGATATGAGTTGATTGTTCACTGAAACAAGCTCAAACCCGTCATCTACAAAAGTAAAACTGAAAGTAGCTTTTGTTACCTTGAAAGGCGTAAGTAAACCTGACTGATAAGAAGAACATGGTATGTAAGCTCTAGACACGCTGACATGATATAGAAAAAATAATGATAAATAAACCAAAGAATCAAGTGTAAAATAACTTAGACAAACTATAACTATAATCCATTATTAGTTAAAAAAAAAAAGAACATTATTAGAATGGAAAAATGGAAAATAGGCAACACAATTTGTGGATATACCATTTTCTCGGGATAACTTTAAATCTAAACTATCAATATCTGAACGTTCTGCTTTTAATCCTCCATAAAGTTGGAAATACCTACTAATATATAGCGGCCCCATTTCCCAGAATCTACATTTGTATGTTTGCAGGATACGTTTCATCAATTGAGCTTATATGAATAGGTTGAAGTGGTCCTGTAATTGATGAAGTGATCACTGTGACAAAGAGTTAAAAACATATAACTTAACAGATTTGTGTAAAAAAAAGTGTATACATGTTATTAACAAATGTAAATATAGTTGTCTTGTTAAAGTAGCTATTACTTTTAACATAATTGTTTATGTTAAATCCTTCTATTACTCGTTTATTGAAATACTTTTTTTTTTGTCGCATCATTTTATAAACGGGTATATGAATGGCTGTCATTGTGATAGTATGTTTTACAAAAAGGATAGAGATATAAGATAAGATAGAGATCTTAAGTTTGGACAATACCATTTCCACATCATGCTATTTGGTATGGCAGCAGTACCACTTACATTTATTAGGTTGATGACCAATATATTGATGAGATTACAACTTCTTGTTGCCTGTTTCTATGATATTATATATGTAAAGATACATGTACACCTAATGCATGTCAAGGCGGTTTTGGGCTGCCTTAGAGACAGCGGAAAGCAGTAAGGCCATCAAAATGTCAGTTTGGTGAGGAGCAACTGTACCGTTTAGAACACAGGGAAGGAAGAGGAAAGATCAGACCAGACGACAAGAAAATTCAGGCAATGATTGATTTTCCCCTTACCACAAACGAAAAAAAAAAAGGATTATGTTATTACATGAGTGGGTATTGTCAACATTTCGTCAGTGATCAGGAAGGATCGGTCTAGACTAATCCGATGGACGGATGACAGTATTCAACGAACTGAAGGACGCAATGACCAGAGCACCGGTAATAGAAAACCTAAATTTTATTAAACTCTTCAGAACACAGGAAGATGCCACCGATTTAGCAATCGGGTTATTAAAGGCTAGTAACATCCTATTGCATATATTAACAGGACACTTTTACCGAGAGAACAAAATTATTCTACAGTAGAAAAGGAGTGTTTGGCCATCGTATTGAGCGTAGAGTAATTTCCCTATTATATCAGCGATGTACGGTTTACAACACAAACTGACCACAATCCACTGAAATGGCTCGATAGGACAAAACAAAAGGATCGGAGACTATTAAGATGAACTCAGGTCTACCACAATTTTACTATACAATTGAATATAGTCGAGGCCAAGAAAATGCCAACGCAGATGGATTTTCGCGCGTGGAATAGACACTTTGTAAATAATAAAGATTGAAATGTAACTCAAAGTGTAACTCATATTGACGTTGTGTAAATAATAAGCTGTGTAATATAACTCAAAGTGTAACTCATATTTACGTTGTGTAATTAATAAACATTGAAATGTAACTCAAAGTATAACTCATATTTAAGTTGTGTAAATAATAAACAGTGTAATGTAACTCAAAGTGTAACTCATATTTACGTTGTGTAATTAATAAACATTGAAATGTAACTCAAAGTGTAACTTATATTTACGTTGTGTAAATAATAAACATTGAAATGTAACTCAAAGTGTAACTCATATTGACGTTGTGTAAATAATAAGCTGTGTAATATGACTCAAAGTGTAACTCATATTTACGTTGTGTAAATAATAAACTGTGTAATGTAACTCAAAGTGTAACTCATATTGACGTTGTGTAAATAATAAACATTGCAATGTAACTCAAAGTGTAACTCAAAGTGTAACTCATATTTAAGTTGTGTAAATAATAAGCTGTGTAATATAACTCAAAGTGTAACTTATATTTACGTTGTGTAATTAATAAACATTGAAATGTAACTCAAAGTGTAACTCATATTTACGTTGTGTAAATAATAAACATTGAAATGTAACTCAAAGTGTAACTTATATTCACGTTGTGTAAATGATAAACATTGAAATGTAACTCAAAGTGTAACTTATATTCACGTTGTGTAAATAATAAGCTGTGTAATATAACTCAAAGTGTAACTCATATTTACGTTGTGTAAATAATAAACTGTGTAATGTAACTCAAAGTGTAACTCATATTGACGTTGTGTAAATAATAAACTGTGTAATATAACTCAAAGTGTAACTCATATTTACGTTGTGTAAATAATAAACATTGAAATGTAACTCAAAGTGTAACTCATATTGACGTTGTGAAATAATAAACATTGAAATGTAATTCAAAGTATAACACATATTTACGTTGTGTAAATAATAAGCTGTGTAATGTAACTCAAAGTGTAACTCATATTTACGTTGTGAAATAATAAACATTGAAATGTAACTCAAAATATAACTCATATTTATGTTGTGTAAATAATAAACATTGCAATGTAACTCAAAGTGTAACTCAAAGTGTAACTCATATTTACGTTGTGAAATAATAAACATTGAAATGTAACTCAAAGTATAACTCATATTTACGTTGTGTAAATAATAAACTGAAGTGTAACTGAATAAAATGAATAATATGAAAATATAACAAAAGTGTAACAAATATTACTTTGCAACATACGTAATTGGATGAAAATTATAAAAAAAAAATTCAGTTTTAGTGAGATTTTTATTGAATTCCATCTCTTTCCCCTGCATATCTACACACCTTGGTTGCTATGAGTGCATCACTCATGGTATCACGCATTATCACTTCAAATTTCCACAAAATGACATATCTATTGAAACCTGCTATGTTACGTAATATCAACCCTCCATTGTAATGAATTGTTATCAGAGATATTTGTGATATATTTAGTGTTAAGTATTTAAAAGACTGAACACTTATGAGTCGCTACGATAAGACAGCGTGCGTCTGTAACCAACATGTTGTAGTGCTGGTTGTTATATTGATGTCGGGGAGTAGACTGATAAATTATTGTTCGGGAGTGGATCTATATATTGATGTCCGAAAGAAAACAGATAATTTGATGTCCGGAAGTAAATTGATGTTTTTATATCTGTAAATGTGTTGATATATTGATGTCCGGAAATGGATAAATATATTGATATCCGAAATTGGTATTGTCACAAAAATCACAATATCTAACATAGTTATAATTTTCTTTTTTTCCCAATACATATTTACGATATTTACAATACATATTTACAATATGTATACTTTGTGCGTTATATTACATAATACACATCACATGTATGAAGTTAATGATACAGAAAAAGATAAGTAAGTGTGCAGACTGAAAATTTGTGTTTCTCAAAAGATCATTAATACCAGTGTTCATTGTACTGTTATTTATATTAACATTTATTTTACTTTTGAACTCATTTTAAAGCATATACAATAAAGACATGATAATGTGAATATTAATAAAGACATGATAATGTGAATATTAACATAATCATCTTTTTAGACAGACATTTTCGGTCTGGTTATTATGATGTTGAATTTTTAGAAATTGATTTTGCTATAAAACGTAAATGTTGCTTTTCCATATATAAGATGTTGAACAAACACTGTGTTTTGTTATCTATACTATGAAGTTTTCTATCAGAATAATGTGTAACATAAATTGAAGCATTCACTGTAATACGCCAATACTGTTTTTATACTGGATTGCTGTAGAGATATATTCTATATTAATATTACACAGTGTTTTATATACTGTTCTATATAAACATATAGTGTAACACGTGTCTGATAATATTGTTATTTCTATTAAAAGCTGGGTTCCGATCCTGATCAGTCTTGGTTGCCTTGCGTCAATCATCGGTTGTGGTGTGTGCTGCTGGTGTTGTTGCTGTAGGTCTAGCTCGCGGGTCGGTGGAGCTGTGATAATGGCACCAGCAAATCCAGGTATGTCCAGTCCAAACAGTGCCTGCTTATGAAACACAAAGTAATAGTAGTGGGTTTTAATAACTCAGTTTTCACATCTAAGACTTGTATTATCTGTCGTGGTGAACATTGTCTTTTGTAATTAAATCAGCTTATTCTTTACATTCCCAATTATACCTTGATGTTATTTCAGCATTCATAGTCCGTTGTTTTCCCAAAATATGTTCTGCTGTAGAATTATGATATGAAATTACTATCTTAAACTCTTTATTTTGTCATATAGAATACTCATTTCTGTATTTTAACTTCGGTTCCAATTCAGCATTTTTTCTTTCTGTTTTTTTCTTACCTGTTGTGTATTGTATTTTCAATTAAGATTTACCTTCATTATTTCGTAGTTTAATTTGTAATATCAATCTTATGTACCGTTGGATTTTTGTTCCTGCAATAAATATAATAATTCAGCATATGATAAAACTTTGCTTAAAATTATTTTCACAAAAGGTAATTTACATCAAAAACGGAATTAACGAAATAATAACAGAAATTAGAAATATTTTACGAAAAATGTGAAAACTAAGATTGAAAACAGAAAATGTGAAAATTTAAAAGAAAATGGCAGGTTAAAGCTATGAGCCAAACATCTCTGTTTTAAATGCAACTTTAGGTCGTGAAAGCAGAGGGCGTTCAAAGATTGTACAAAAGACACACAAGTGATTACTCTATTTAAAGATTTAGAGTAAGATATAGTAGAGCCAAACAATTATTTAAACTGCATTATACAGCTGTTTCGTCCTTCTATGACCCGTCCGTGATACTAAGGTTCTAAATTTTGAAGCCTAGGAGGCTTCTAAGGAAAATCCAATTTGAACGATTCGAAATGTGGCATGCAGGTTTCGGCAAACCTCGTGGACTCAAAGTCCACCAGCAGTGTCTACCACCTGCTATATTAAAGTTTGTACAAAATACATACAAGTGAATAACACCATATAATGATTAAGATTTAGATATAGTAGAGAAAAAATAACACTAACGGTAGAAGACTGGTCCATATACAGCTACATTCACGCACGCATATCTAAGTCCATGACTCAAACTTTTTCATCATTTTCTTCATTTTCTGAATACTTCATCGTTATCTAGATTAAGCAAGATACAGTTTTCTATCTTTCGCTTTAAAATCTTGTAAATGCTATACAACCCGACAATGAAATCCGGTAAGAGAAAAAAAAATTTACGACACCGAACCCGTTTTAGGTAGGAGCCTTATCGTCGTGTCATGCTAATTAGATACGTTGATTTCCTGCCTATAGCTATTTTTTCACTTCAAACAACACCTACATCTTCATAGAAAATAGTACAATGTTTATTGGATATTTTGATATTTTGATATCAACCTACCAAAAAGTGAATGGTAGATTCACAAGGACAAGCATAGAGAGATTCCGCATGTGGTGTTGAAGAAAATGTGTTTGTAACATTTAATTGATTTCACATATGTGCAAGTTAGAAGAAAAATGTATTATCTTTCCATGGATATATGCTTTATAACTCTTCCGCTGTTGTAAGCTTAATAAAGCATTGCCTGAATGTCGAGACTTGCAAGGGTCGCTTTTCTGACTATCTTTCTGTGACAAAGTAAAATCGCGGATAGATAATCGGAAACCTTCGATTTAGATTTCAACTAAATTTTGCATGAATTATCACCACAAATCACATATTTCAAACTCATTAATTCCGACTTGGCGACCACTTTCAAGGCTTTTGAGGACCCTGAAATATATTCAGCTGGTCTCTTGATCTTAGAATCTTGGATCTTTGGTAGAGTTTTTTTTCTCAGGGTGTACATGCAATGATAATTATATAATCATGTTGTATATTGACGAGTCGGTGTGGCACTTAGTTAATTTAATAGCCCGTACATGTCTGGGTTTCCACCTGGTGGGAGTGGCGGTTCATCCTGGTCCTTTGGACAGGATGTCCAGCCCCAGACTCAGGCAGGCCATCTTGGCCAGTTCTGGGGTCACTCCCGGCCCGCTGGACCGTTCCCATTCCCTCAGGGGTTTGGGTTTTTACCCCGTGGGTCTTCACTCGTGGAACCCATAGGGGTTGGTCTCTCCTCTAGGAGATGTTATAGCAGTGCGGAATCCCCCCAATGTTCTGCTACTTCGGGGGCCTTGTTGGCCGGTCGTATAAAGGTTTGCCAGACCTTAAGGACTTCCGCCTCCAGCGCGGACCCGTCGGTCTCCTGTTCCCAGGGGTCGGCTTCGGGTCTCCGACCCAAGCCTACAGCTACAGCTGTTGGTCGCGCTGCGTCCAAATGCCATAAAGAGGAGTTCCCCTCTGCGGAGATGGCTCCTCTGGCGGCCCCTGTTCCTCCCAAGGGGACTTCGGTCTCTATTGAGGAGGAGATGGACATCGAGGGTGCGGGCTCGGCGGAGGAAGACGATGTCATTCATCTTTCTCCTGGGCCAAGAGGGTTCACAAGGGGAAGATGGCCCTGAGACTGCTGAAGCCGAGGCTCAGCATGTGCTTTCTGGGATGCGGGTCCTCCGGGCCAACATCTCCCGGATTCTCAGGGCGGAGGTATGCCCACCGCCTCAGCATCGTCGGCGCCTGAATCCACCATCCTTCAGGGTTCCCTGGTGGCTCCTCGGGCTTCCGTTCGCTCAGATCGGTCTCTGCCAGAAGGCAATATCATGTCTTCGGTTCTGGCCACGGCCCGGGCTCCGGTTTTAGAGAAGGACTCCTTCTCTACCCGTGCTCCCAGTTTCACTTCGAGGTTTTAAGGTATTTGGGTTTGTCGGTCTGCAGCTCAGTGTTGGTGAATTGTCGGAGGCTTCAGCTTCCGACTATGCCACACATGATGGGCAGCTGGCCTCTCAACCAGCACAGCTGGAGTTGAGACAGCTGGCTGCCTGGCCCGGCAAATCAGTGGACCAGGTGGTGCTCGATCCCAAAGAGCACCACAGGATGGAGAGAATGTTGCACCTCTCCATCCAAGTTCTGTCATACATAGACTTCCTGACAGTTTGTCTATACAGGGTATCCGATTTGCCTGAGTGTCGGTTATCCGAGACAGAACAGCCGACATACAGGACACGGCAGCCTTGCAAGTTCTCTGCTCGTCAATGCCGTGTTGGCTAGGCAGTTTTCAGTTCTGAAATTCCGCCCAGTCCAGTAACCCTACCGTTTCCGCTTGTTGAATGCCCCCTTCTAGGGCTCTACCCTGTTCAGGGGAGCTCTTCCTTGGGTTCAGAAGGATATGAAGGAGGACTCGGTCGCCTCAGCACTTCTGGTGAAGAGGTTTCAGGCTGAGAAGGCCAGTGCCTCGCAGGGGTCAGTGCCTCCTAAGAAGATGGCGAAGTCTTCGGCTGCTCAGTTTTCTGCACAGCCCAAGTCCCAACCTCACTTCAACGGCAACAAGGGGAAGGGTAGGAAGGGTAAGAAACCTCCTGGGGGCAAGAAGAAGGGTTCCTGACTATTTCTGCTTCTTGGCCGCGAAAGGCGAAGGGTATGGCCGGGTGGACGGTGGTTCTCCTTTCCCGGGCTCATGTCCTTCTCCTGCAGGCTCAGGCTCCGGGTGGGCAGACGATTCTCTGGTCTGGCAGGGGCTCGATCTGCCCCATCCGGAACTCCCTGTGGGCGGACGTCTCTCTGCTTTCCTTTCCCAGTGGCAGGATATTACAGAGGACGCTTGGGCTTTTGTCGGTGGTCAGGGAGGGTCTAGGTATTCTCCTTCTTCAGGATTCGTCCCTCGCCTCCTGGCCGTTTTTGTTTCTTTCCTCCTCCCGGGGATTCAGAAAGGGCACGGGTGCTCCAGGAGGAAGTAGGGACCATGCTGCCAAGGCAGAGATGCCCTTGGGGCTCACGACAGCTCCTTTGGTGTTCACCAAGTTGCTGCTGGTGTTTCCTTCACTCACGCAGAATAGACGTCCACATCTATTTCGACGACTCCCTCATGCCTCTTTTGGTGTGGGAATCGTTAGTGAAGGACACTCGTCTGGTCCTGAAACTCTTGCTCAGAGTCGGCTTCATTCCTTCCAGAGAGAAGTCAGAGGTTCCTTCATATTAGGACTTCTTCTTCCTGGGGAACCATTTTGACATGGTTCGGGGCTTAGCCCTTCCACCTCTGGAGAAGTTTGAGAAGGTCAGGGCTCTGGCTCTGACTTTCATCACTTGGTCGCTTGTCCAGGTACATTGGTTCCTCAGTTTTCTGGGGTATCTCAACTCCTTGGCATATGTGGTCCCCCTAGGGAGGATTCACATCGGACCTCTCCAGATGTTCCTCCTGTCTGACTGGGTTCCGTCATCCAGGAGGCCTGGATCCCGCTTACCCAGTCGGTCAGGGAGTTCTCTTGCTGGTGGACCATTCAGGAGAACGTTTTCCACGGGGTACCTCTGACAAAGCCTATCCCCTCTATGATCCTGTTCATGGACGCGTTCATGACAGGAATGTGAGCTTACCTCGATGGCCAATGCCGCTTGGGGGAGTGGTCTGGCGAACAACTCTCGGAGCACATCAGTGTACTCGAGATGAGACTGTTCATTTGGCTCTGCAGTCCTTTAGGGGTATCCTGCAGTCCAAAGTGTGGCTACCGACAACAGTTGTCGCGTATCTGGAGAGACAGGGGCCACCAGGTCTCATGTCCTGTGTGCCCTCTCCATCCACATCCTTCTTCTCTGCCAGGACATGCAGTTGACCATAGCGGTCAAGCATCTTTCTGGCAGGCTGAGTGTGTTGGTGGCCACTCTCCAGGCGCCACCAGCCGGTGTTGACGGAATGGCAGCTGTGTCCCTTGATTTTCAAGGGGAATTGTCAGGCGTGGGACAGACCTATTATAGACCTGTTTGCTACTTCCCTGAACAACCAGCTAACCTTCGTCTCCCCGGTCCCAGACCGTAAGGCGTGGGCTGTGGACGCCCTTTCTCTGGAATAGGAAGGGACGTATGCATATGCATTCCCTCCCTTCAACCTGGTGGGCAGGGTTCTACAGAAGTTCTGGGAGCATCACTGCTCCTTACTTCTGAGAGCCCCTCTGTGGCCGAGGCAAGCTTGGTTTCAGGAGCTCTTGTCGTTTCTGGTGGAGGAGCCCTTGGCTCTCCCCACCAGACCGAATCTCCTTCGCCAGCCTTGGCCCAGAACGACACACTCTTGACCAGAGATCCTCCACCTTCACGCGCTGAGGCTATCTCTGGAAGCCACGCCAAGGCAGGCTTTTCTCAAGAGGTGTCAGATTGCATTGAGCAATCAATCAGGGCTTCCTCTTCTGCCGTCTACCAGTCACGTTGGATGATCTTCTGTGATTGGTGTGTCGGCAAGGAAGCTTATTCATTCGAAGCCTCTGCATTTGATTGCGGACTTCCTAATCTCTCTGTTTAGGTACCGCTATCTGCCACCTGGCACTATTGCTGGCTATCGTACAGCTATTGCCAGAGTTCTTGCTTGTTATGGCAGGAAGGAGATCGGTTAGTCCTCCTCTCTTTCTGCCCTAATCAGAGGCTTTGCTATGAATAGAGTTGTTTTTAGCGAAGAATCAGGTTCCGGGGTTCTCGCACGATCCCATCAGGATCCTGGCTGTGACTAGCTCGGAGGAGCGAGATAGGTTGCTTTGTCCTTGTCGGGCTCTTAGGTTTTATCTTCATAAAACCAGGGGGGCGGGGCTCTCGATCCCGTCTGTTTTGCCCATTAAACAGGGGCAACGAGATATCTCCTCCCAGTCGGTTTTCAGGTGGGTTTGCCAGGTGATTTAGTATGCTTACGAGCATTTTGATGATCTGGCTCGGGCGAGAGCGAGAGCGCGATCTCACGAGGTCAGGGCCCTTGCTTCATCCTGGGCCCTTCTCTCAATGAGTCCTCCTTTCAGGAGGTCATGTCTGCAGTATTCTGGCAGGGCAGGGATACCTTAACAGATTTTTATCTGTGATCCCTAGCTTCCCACTCAGAAGGCCTGTATTCATTGGGACCTTTGGTGGTGGCATAGTCAGTGGCTGGGCCTCCTCGTTAGCCCCGGGCCATGTCTTTCCGTACGGCGGCATGTGGGTACACCTGCTCTTTCACAGAGAGGTCCCTTCCTTCACTTTAGCACTCTGTTCTCCCTCCCTACTACTTTGGTTGTGCTGAAGGGGCTGCCTGGCTTCTAGTCACCACTACGGTAAGACGAATTCGCATACTAAAGTTATGGTAATTATTACTGAAATGAAATTGAGGTGTTTTAATGTAAAACCAATTTTCATGATGTAATACTTACCATAACTTTATGGAGTCCCACCCTATCCTCCCCTCTTCCTTATCTGCCTGGCTGCCCCTCTGTGGGGTTTACGCCATAAAGGTTATTAGAGGAAGGGAGATCACTCTGCGTTCCTGCCGTGATGGCTCATGGATCGTAGGGAGGGCGGGATTGTTTTTCTTTTGAATCTTTTGTTGTTGGGATACAAAGATGGGTGTAGGTACTGTATTTGCATACTAAAGTTATGGTAAGTATTACATCATGAAAATTGGTTTTACATTAAAAAAACCCAAGTTTCCTGTCACAACCTATAATCTCTTAATATGCATAATATCGACTGTTAAAGATTTTTTGACAGAAATATGAAATGAGGTAATTGATGTGCAGTGATACATTTTACCGGTGTGAAAAGGTGATTAATATGCATCAGTTTCATTTACAGCTGTAAAAATGATGCATTTGTTGGTTTAAGGTGTACAAGTGTAATAAAATGTTCATTGTGTAGTAATATAATTTACTGGTGTGGAAAAGAGATTAAGCATTACCATGTGATTTGTACGTGTGAACAGAGTTATTAATGTGCCGTACTATGATTTGCAGGTGTGACGGTTGTCAATACAAACGTAACCAATAACCACCAACAGGTCCCAGCCATGACTGTCGGGAATCCAAACACGTCAGTTAATCCGTACAACAACGGCTAAAATCAGCGCCAAAGCACCAGTGTATAGTCTCGAATTAAACAGGTGCATTTGTGTTTAGGGCGGACGAGTTTTCTTTATTTACTTTTTTTCTACATTTTTGTATTTATATCCTCTTTAGAAATAATATCATTTGTATGCTTATCGATAAGAGAGAATTATATAATTTGGAATTAGAAGCATGCTTTTCTTTCATTGATGACAAAAAACTTGAGAGGAAAATTATAATTGTATTACCTCACGAGACGAAGTATTTGATCTATAGCTTCAAACATAAGAACTATGCAAAAAATATCGACATATTTGATTGAATAAATTTTATTAGTAAGACAAGCAATTTTCCATTTCGTTACCAATGCATTTATAATTAAAAACTGAAACAAAAACGAAATTTTGAATGATATATGACAAAAAAGTATACACTCTTCATTATTCTTTTAAAATCTAGAAAAATCTATATCTATATAAAGAAATGTGATTATTAGGTCAAGTCAGATATGAAAGCTATAATGTAAAATTAAGAAAGAAATTCTTTGAAAATGAATTTTCGTTGATCAAGATTTTCTTAAGCTCTGTTTAAACAAGCCAGTCAAAGGTTAGGACAATTTTGGAAACAGTAAACCTGCTTGCATGTATCAAGAATATGCATCTGTTGCTGGTATATTTTGGTATAACTGGTATATGAAATATTTAATTTTGATAAATATTTTACTAAATTTTATATCTATTTTAACCGATGGGAAATATAAGACTTTATATTTCTTTCAGTGTATGCACTAGTCTCCGTCTTGTCTCTATATGAGTACATATAAGTTATTTTTCACGTGTTTCCCAGATTGAAAATTACTCACAAAATTATATATCATATCATATGCTTGTTTATTGATGTTACAAATTATGTAATAGTTATATGTACCGATTACTTTGACTATCAATTTATCAAGTTTAAATTTTTTCATGATATTTGACAGATAAAACAATGAAACATACTACTGACTGTTAAAATCTGTGTTTAGTCAGTAAAGAGGTGTAATAAGCCACAGAGTAGCTCTATTAAACATATACCGCAGACATCAAAAACCGTGACTTTGTACCAAATTCCGAACAGACCTTTACCGTGGAAAACATACGAGTTTTGTTAATACAGGAATGGATATAATTTGATATTAGAACTAAAGCGGATTAGGTAATAAAGATTTGATCTTATAAAAAAATAAGATGGAAATAAAAACGTCAAAATCTTGCTACATAAAATCTTATATAAAATAAAACTCATTTAAGATTGATGAAAACTTAATGTCAAAATACGCAAAAGTCTGAGGTTTATGCTTTAAAGCTCTATCGACTAAAACCTAAATATGAATTTTTGATTATAAAGCCAACACATACATGAAGGACAAACATTACTTTGGCGATAAAGAGCTTCAACTTGAAACTTACACCAAAGATTATACAAGTACACAAGTGAAAGTACATTTCAATGAAGATTTAAAATAAGATATTGTGGAATCAAATTAATTGCGTCATACTTGTGATTCATCTTTCTTTCGTTAGTAACCTAGTAAGCGACTGAGAAAAAACTTTATATTACAGAGCTACATATCTGATTTCAGTTCATCATCTGACAAAATGATGAAAAATAAGCGGGAGAGTCTCTGATGAGACCGATAGTCGGACGAGGAGGAAACGTTTAGTTTCTCGCGTCTCGTCGTTAGGGACTATTAGGTTAAGACTTCCTGTTTGCCTCCGTTGATCAGTAATGCTGGTCATATCCAGCGTTGTTGCGATCATAAGGGTTTCTGGTCTCCTCATAAGGGGGAGGACTACATGGTGTGGTGGATTGGTCTGTCTGGTTATAAACAGGAGCCACGGATTTGATTAACTGCCTAGAAGCAGGAAGGTTGACTGAAGCTGATGGTCTGCTGGACTGGTCATACCCAGTGTTGTATGGATTCATCCGGCTGCTTGATGCGTCCACGATGTTCCGTTGTGGCGTTGTTGGTAGGATAATGAAACCTTCAGAAATACAACAAGAAGAGATACCTTAACAAAAATATTCAAATGACGTAACTTGTATCATTATTATATACCATCATCTCGGTATCATACATATATATATCATGCAAACTGTATGAATGGTTAATTTGCAAATATTTGCAGGTTTCTGAAAGTCACTTAACGTCATACCTTATTTTACTGAATACAAATTTCATCAATTACAACGATACTTTTTTTCTTAAAATCGATGCATTTCCTTATTTATCAAAGTCTACTTAGAATTATCGGAGAGACATTAAAAGTTAAAAATAACTGAGATGCATAGTTCATCAATTCTTGTTTTCATCATTCTTTTCTGTTTCGGTTTTTTCCTAACATTAAACTCGGAGAAACATTTACTTTGTATATCTGTTTAAAGTGAGAAGCAATCGGCACACACACACACACACACATACACACACACACACACCACCACCACCACCACCATCACACATCACACACACACACACACACACACACACACACACACACACACACACACACTCTCTCTCTCTCTCACAAACAATCACACACACACACACACACACACACACACACACACACATCACACACACACACACACACACACACACACACACACACACACACACACACACAAATACAACATTTACTTTGTATATCTGTTTAAAGTGAGAAGCAATAGGCACACACACACACACACACACACTATATATATATATATATATACAATCAAGGCTGGATAACACGCCTTGTGACAACTTCGGGTGATACTTTATTGCCATGTTCACAACTGCATAATGACGTAACAAAAATTGTATATAGTACGAGTTGAGATATTAAAGATATATTTGATTGCCCGAAACAAAATACATGCACCGGTGAACGGCGTGTCTTTAACTCCTGGTTTTAAATGTGTCACCATGAAAAAAATCTTCTTACAAATTTGTTTTTACAATAGAAAGGAAAGCCATCTTTGGATTAAAATCTCTTAGCTGACCCTTACCACACATGAACACACTAAGTGGAATGCTTTGTGGTGCTGATGTGCGAAGACGACTTTTAATCTCGAATAATTTTATTAACGGTCGATTAGATATTCATGACACTTTTGGTTGTAATTGAGTATCATTTGTATATAATTTGGTACTAACCGTGTTGTCTTGGCTCTGTGGTTGATTCAGTTGCCCTCATGCGACATAAGCATGCGCATATGGTGAGAACTGCTGCAATAACGGCAGCGCCACCTCCGGCATAGTAGCTAGCAACATAAAAAAGTAAAATTGGAATACAAGCTTACATGAAAATGAAAAAAAAATTACAGGTGGTAAATGTAGCTCATTTTCCTCATATAAATGTGGTAGGAAAGGTTACTTACATTATAAGACAAAATTTAATCATAAATGTAACTTACATTAAAGGACGAACTTATTTGTAAATGTAACTTACATTAAAGGACGAACTTATTTGTAAATGTAACTTATCTTTAAGGAGGAAAATAAGATGATACAGCCGATATGCATTACAGGTTTCCTCGCTCCTCCTTTAATTACTACACGTTTCCTCACAACTCCCTATACCTACCACACGTCTCCTCACTCCCCCATTTAACTACTACAGGTTTCCTCACTCCTTCCTCAACAACTTCTTCAGGTTTCCTCACTGATCCTTTAACTACTACAGCCGTTTTCCTCACTCCCCCTTTAACTACTACAAGTTCCCTCACTCCCCCTTAACTACTACAAGTTCCCTCACTCCTCCTTTTACTACTACAGCTGCTTTCCTCACTCCTCCCTTAACCACTGCAGGTTTCCTCATTCCTCCCTTAACCACTGCAGGTTTCACCACTCCTCCCTTAACCACTACAGGTTTCCCCACTCCTCCCTTAACCACTGCAGATTTACTCACTCCCCCTTTAACTACTACAGCTGTTTTCCTCACTGCTTCCTCAACCACTACAGGTTTCCTCATTTCCCCCTTTAACTACTACATGTTTCCTCACTGCTTCCTTAACTACTGCAGGTTCCCTCACTCCTTCCTTAACTACTACAGCTGCTTTTCTAACTCCCTCTTAACTACTACAGCTGCTTTCCACACTCCTCCCTTAACCACTGCAGGTTTCCTCATTCCTCCCTTAACCACTGCAGGTTTCACCACTCCTCCCTTAACCACTACAGGTTTCCCCACTCCTCCCTTAACCACTGCAGGTTTAATCACTCCCCCTTTAACTACTACAGCTGTTTTCCTCACTCCCCCTTAACTACTACAAGTTCCCTCACTCCTCCTTTTACTACTACAGCTGCTTTCCTCACTCCTCCCTTAACCACTGCAGGTTTCCTCATTCCTCCCTTAACCACTACAGGTTTCCCCACTCCTCCCTTAACCACTGCAGGTTTACTCACCCCCCCTTTAACTACTACAGCTGTTTTCCTCACTGCTTCCTCAACCACTACAGGTTTCCTCATTTCCCCCTTTAACTACTGCAGGTTCCCTCACTCCTTCCTTAACTACTACCGCTGCTTTTCTAACTCCCTCTTAACTACTACAGCTGTTTTCCTCACTCCCCCTTAACAACCACAGGTTTCCTCACTCCTCCCTTCACTATTACAGGTTTCCTCACTCCTCCCTTCACTATTTCAGGTTTGCTCACTCCTCCCTTCACTATTACAGGTTTCCTCACTCCTCCCTTCACTATTTCAGGTTTCCTCACTCCTCCCTTCACTATTACAGGTTTCCTCACTCCTCCCTTCACTATTTCAGGTTTCCTCACTCCTCCCTTCACTATTACAGGTTTCCTCACTCCTCCCTTCACCATTACAGGTTTCCTCACTCCTCCCTTCACCATTTCAGGTTTCCTCACTCCTCCCTTCACCATTTCAGGTTTCCTCACTCCTCCCTTCACCATTACAGGTTTCCTCACTCCTCCCTTCACCATTACAGGTTTCCTCACTCCTCCCTTCACTATTTCAGGTTTCCTCACTCCTCCC